ATATAGTGTTTTTTTAATCAATAAAACAGTTTTTTTAATATATTGCTGCATTTTGTATAAGTTCATACTCAAGTTTAAATAAACAACAACACTAAAGCTATTCTGTTATACCTGTGTGTAAAAAATACACTGCACCCAAAATATTTCATAGTTCAGCAATACTGATCAATCTAATAAACTTAAACCTACACAATCCTCCCTATTCTGGTATTTTAAAGAGTACTTAGCAGAAATATTAAGCAACCTAACTAATAGGGTTGCAAACTCCCAGCAAAAAAAAAATAGGGAACCACCCCCCACCCTCCACCTCATAACGCTTAATCAACGTAATCAACTTTAAATTGATGCAGTGTGGGGAAAAAAATGCACAGAAATAAATAATTTTTCAAGAATAATTAAATAGATTCAACTTCTTTCTTCAACAGAATTGCAGACAGCACAGATGGTGCCTTCCCAAAGGAAAAAGTACTATAGCTTACTAGGGTATATTAGACTTAACAGTTACTATATACAGTAATGGACTTCTATACAATTTACATCAGATTGAAACTTTGGGTGTAAGATACAGATAATTATTTATTAAAAGCTCGACATTTTAAATGAGAATAAGAAAGAAAAGTATGTCTTTGTGCCCCCCTTTTCCCTGTTCATGCCCTATTGGCCCCCTTGGCTAAACTTTGCTAGATCCGCTCCTGCACAGTTACCAGCCATCAGCTGCGTAGAAAAAGATCCTGGTGTAGAAAGTAATATTAAATAAATTCTAACAACAGCTTATCAAGCTTAAACGTGCTGCTATTCAGCCGCTGGTTTCCTCTTTCTGGCGCGAAGTGAGCAATAAACAAACAAGAGAGACGGACTCGCGACAGAAAAGCCGATCAGCTGATCATTGATCAGTTTCACGATTGAAGTAGCAGCAAGTAGAAGCAGTCGCTCCATATATCGGTTGTTAAGCTTAAGCTGTTTTACTTCTCTCTGGGATAAATTCATCGCAGATGAAATGCTGGTTTGGTAGTGAGGCTATAAATACACACAGCCGCTCTATCACGTGAGCTCACTGCTCCAACGTGCTACGGTTATGAGCCAAGTTACGCCGTGTCGCAAGTTTTGTGAGGTGCTTTTTTGATATTTAATGGATCGGATTACATTTTTTTATTTTTATCCGATATCCGATCCAGTAATTCACGTCAGTATCGGACTGATACCGATAGGTAATATCGGATCAGTCCATCTCTAGCAGTGACATGTCTGATTTGGTGGTGTGCAGTACAGGAACTCCACAAGTGACTGTCCCCATTCCTATTCAGCTTCCGAGCCTCCAAATTTCAGTTGTGTATGTCTGTTCTGGAACACAGAATGTTGATGTTGACATCTTGGAGGAATACAAGTGGCCTTGCATTATTATCAACAACAGACTAAACTGGAAAACCAGCACAGAGGCTCTACGAGCAGAATTTTTCTTTCTGGAGGAAGATGAGATCCTTCAAATTACACAGCAAAATATTGGAGATTGTCTGTCAGTCAGTTGTGGCGAGTGCAGTGTGCTTTGCTGCAGTCTGCTGGTGGAGCAGCATCAGACACCAAAAGACTGAATAAACTGATGAGAAAGGCCTGGTCTGTGAGTGGTTGTAAACTGCAAAGTATTATGTTGGAGACCAGATTTTTGAGCATTTCCCGACCAGGTGTTCTGAAATAAGACCAACAAAACAAAGAAAATAAAAATGGAAATCAACTAGAATCACTTCTGATCTGTTTTACTTAGCAAAAGCAGATTTTTTTGTGTTAATTTTGTGTTTGTCCCTAAATTTCTCCATTTACTGTTTCAGCTGGTTCCGACCAGTATCTTAACAAACCATTAGCAGAGCATTTTTATTGTATTTCAAATTATTGCCAGCAATTATAATGGCCCAATCTAAGTGGCAGCAAATACACACAGCTTGCATTTGTTTCTGTGGTGTTATTAGTTCTTTACAGACAAACAGGCATGGCTGTAAGTAAGGGTGGGTGACTCATCACCAGCATCCCCACTGAATTCCACATAAAGCAAAACACATATATCCATAATTGAATCGCCTGAAACCCCCATAGTCTGGATGGGTGAGAAAACCAAGTGAGGTATATCTAAATGTTCAAAGTGTAGCAGTTATTACACTGAAGATACGTTATGAATACATAGGATCTGGATGAGTGGGTTAAGGACATGAAGGATTCATGGAAAATAAACACATTAAAGAGGCATTACAATAAAATGGAAAGAGCCCCTTTTCACATATGGGATTCATTCAGTCACTTTTACAATAGTGTTTCTCACAGCTTGATCAGTCTTCAGACAAAGCCTATTGTGAGGACCATTTTCAAAATTTAGGCCTCTTTTCAATTGTCAAGAAAGTACCCCGAGGCACACAGGCTCAGCAAGGGACGTCTCTTTTGTATAGCGAATATGTAAAATGTACCATCCATGGTTATTTTAATCTTATTGCCAATAAAAAAAAGAGCTAGTGAGATGTATTAGAGCGATCAAATGCTTTTTTGTGGCTACCCATTAATATGAATGGACACATTCAGAATTGTTAAGTGTTGAAAGTGGTATGTAGATAAAGACAGATACATTATTGTCATGATTTTTAAGGAAAAGTCACCATGGTGTCCATTCAAGCAATGGCAGTGGTGAGAGGTAAGCAACATTACTATAACTGTTAAACCTGTGATGAAAATTTGGTAGGAAGTGAGACATGTTTAAAAGAACCATGTGGGAAACCCAATTTTTTGCCCCAGGAATTGTAGAAACTGCATTTAAACTTTAGGCTTCTAATCAAGATCTGTATCATCCAAACTCAGCTGATATCATATCATTTGAAGGAAGGAGACATACAATCAATCTGGCATGGAAAAAAGATACATTTGATACAGTTTAAAAATTAAATACTTCAAACATCTTGAAATAAAAATAATAATAATAACAATGTCAGAGTTTAGATTCTGTCCGCCACAGAGTACACATGAGATAAAGGCAATATGTATAAGGAAACTGAAGTCCCAGCAAGAGAATGAAAATTTCCTTTTGCTGTAACTCATAGTCAGAATACGAATACATGATTCAGATTAACACATTACAATTGTTAAAGGCAAACTTTGTGTAGCTTCAGCCAATTTAAATCACTGTTCTTATGTTTCATATTCTCAAACATGAACTGATAGAGAATTGTTTTTTTTCCTTTTTTTCTTAATTTTTGTAAACTTGTTTTTGAAGTATGATGATTGCTATGTTTTGACTTGGGTTCTACCCCTTTGTTAAACAGAATAGAATTAATATATTGAATGACAAGCAGCGAGAGCATAGTGGGCCGCAGAGTGACAGAGTAAGACTTGTAACATCACATTTTGCACATTACTGAAGAGCTTCATGTGATGCATTCATCTTGGTTTGTAGTTGAAGTAATGGAGCGAGTTAAGTGTGAAGAGAAAATGAAATATAAGGCTCGATGACAGAAAAATGTGAATAATGTGTTGCATGAAGGAAATGTGAGGGAGGTACAGTAGAATCTTACTGTGATAAACAAACGCTCTGTCAGCTGCTATGATGAGTTGAGAAACCATACTTAGCAAACAGGTACATCTTAGGCCTCTGAATGTTCTTATGTATATCAGATATAACAACATCATCCTGTTGTCTAGCAACCACCTATCAGTGGGTTAAAATGACTCACCTTTAGCATTTGTGGACCTATAACACCTTATAAAAGCATTGTGTTATTTAATTGGATGACATCAAATTTATATACCTTATAAAAAATGTATTATGTTCTAATCTATATTACATATTACAATCTCATTACCCTGAATGTTAAAAGGGAGTTTTTCCTTCCCACTGTCGCCAAAGTGCTTGCTCATAGGGGGTCATATGATTGTTGGGTTTTTCTCTGTATCTATGAAGTGCCTTGAGGCGACTTTTGTTGTGATTTGGCGCTATATATATAAAATTGAATTTAATTTAATTGAATTATGCAGCCTGATAAAAGCATCATATCATTTTTATTTTAATGACACCATCATATTACCTGGCAACCACCTAACAATGGTCTAAAATGGCATTTAAGTAGTAGAGCAGGACATGGGCATGCACTAATTATCAGTTAATGGAAGGAAATACATTGCATGCCACAGAAAGAGTCAAATAAAAAAGGTTGGCAAAAAAGTAGATATCTATGAGTAAGCAAGTTACTATTTTTGTTCTGTGTACATTAAAAAAGGATATGATCGTATTATGCTTTCTATTTTTAATGCATAAGATTCACTCTTTGGACTCTAACATAAATGGAAACACTGGTTATTTAAAATATTCAGATGCTATAGTAGACTGTCACGCCTTGTTAATAATGTTCTTTTTAGAGTTTTTGAGGCTTCAAGGTAGAAGCCGGTTAGAGCAGTAGCAGACAAGACCCCCTGCTGAACAGAATTTCCATGGCACAGATATACCTGTTAGTCAAACTGGTACGACTAACATAGCGCTGCCTACTGAAACACAGATATAAAATCACGAGTTATTTTTGGTGTGAGAGTGTGAGAGTGGAACTCTTTTTTTTGGTAAACTGTGACATGTAGAAGTGCATCCTTGATGACTTTGCTGACACTTTGAGAACCACATTTGTTTTTTCATATAACCCAAACTGTAAAGAAGAGAACCTTTTTGGACAATATAATTTTGCTTGGAGATTGCCTTACCTACGAGCTGTTGGCTGCCACACAGTCTGGTAAACTATGACTACGATTGCATGTACTTGTATTGAAATGCAACAAGGTGACTACTGCCAACTGTGAATCAAATCATAGTGTTTAGATTTTTAAAGTCCTGCAGTTGGCTGGCTGATTTTTCAAGCTAACAAAGACAGACTTCACCTTTGATTCACCTCAGTTTGCCACTTTCTGACATTATCCTTTTTATGTATATCTGCTTCTTCATCATATCTACTTTAAATTATTGCTCTTTCCTTTCTGTCTTCCAGTTACCCTGTTGCCAGTGGAGGATAATGGAATGGCTGTGGTTCTCTTTGCTGTTGCTGGCAGCGGCATGCAGGGGACAGCCGTGTCCGAAACGCTGCATGTGCCAGAGCCTTTCCCCATCTCTCGCTATCCTCTGCTCCAAGACGGGCTTGCTGTTTGTTCCTGCTGCCATTGATCGACGCACCGTGGAGCTACGGCTTCAGGAGAACTTTATTACAGGTAACTGCGTTCCAGTCTGTCCTGCATTTCATTATTTTAATATGCCTCTGAAATTTGACTAGTATTCCAGCCTTTTGCAGCGAGTTTGCTTGGTTTGGCTGTATACATGAAAATGAACTAAAAGGCTGGCTGATAATTGGCAGCATATTTATCTTATTTCAGAACACTTGGTTGTAACTGAAGAGTTTGTTAACAGTGAGTACAAATGTTGGCTTCAGTCACGAAGCTTTTCTGTTGTCTCTGCCTGACAATGACTAATTTTTTTCTCATGAGCCTGAGTATTTCTTTTTAACTTTAATACTTTTTTTGTTATTTATGGTTCAGCATAGTTAAGCTCATTCATGATTCATCTGCTTATATCAAAGAGTGACTTTGAAACATACTTATTTTATAAGAACTGAAGTGCTGCTTTATCTTGTTATTTTAATCTGGATTCGCGTTAGTGCTCTATTCCTAGGTTCTCCAAAACAAAAGGCACACAAGCTATAAAAAAAGATCTAACGGTACCCTGAATGATCATTTAAATTTTAATTAATTTAAGTTTTGCATTACCCTGTTTGAGAGAACCAAATTCAGTCTTCCTCTTATGTGTTGGTTTTACTTATTATCCTAAACTGTTTTATTTAGCCTTTTGTTTTTTCTATATTTTGTCAGTTTGTCTATTTATCTTTCTGTGAATTTGATCACCATATATTTGCTTTCAATTTGACTTTTTTCTTGTATTAATTGTGACTTTTATCGAGCTGTATATTCTCCTGCATTCTCCGATCACCTTTCTTCTTTTCCCCTTCCTAGCTTCTGTTAGGTTTGTTGTTAATGTCATTAACATTCACATATGGAGTTTATTTTTATGAACAGTTTAATAGCATGAATGGACCAACAACTGGTTGAACAGAAAAATGAATTGAATCAATAGTTTTTATGGCTGAGGAGTCATATTTTCTGAAAAGTTGGCTGATGTCTGGAGGGACCTGACTTGCCCAGACCCACATAGCAAGCAGGTCTGGCCTGGATCTGGTATCAAGCTGGCACTACTGGTTGACTTCTGGCAAGACTTATGTCATCCAGATATGGGCCAGGCCTGGCATAGATGGTACTGTCTATGTGATGGCATGCCACATCTGGCCCAATCGTGGTTTGGGTTATGTGGCCCAGGCTCATAGAAAACAGGTCTGGCCTGGATCTGGCATCAAGCAGGCACTTCTGACTGACTGGTGTCATGGCAAGGTGTATGTCAACCAGATGTGCACCAGGCCTGGCATAGATGGCACTGTCTATGTGATGGCATGCCATATCTGGCTCGATTGTGGTTTGGGTTATGTGCCCCAAGCCCATAGAAAACAGGTCTTCCCTGAATCTGGCATAAAGCTGGCACTTCTGACTGACCGGTGTCATGGCGAGGTGTATATCAACCAGATGTGGGCCATGTCTGGCAATGATGGCATTATTTATGTTCCTATTTTCCTATTTTAGTTAGAAGACCCAAATGCCATGTTGCAATACTATACTGCTATAGTTGCCAACATTTCAAATGCAGATTTGACAGGATTGTGTACATTTTATCCAAAACCTAGTGACAATTTACTTTATGAATGTAATTAGGAAGCACTCAGTCTAGGGAAAGTGTGTGATTGGGTGAATGTGGCATGTTGTATAGAGTATTGTGCGTAATCCAATAGAGTAGAAAAGCGCTATATAAGAATCAGTCCATTCACTGCGAACAGAGTTTTGTCATGTTACTTTTGCACTATTATGTTTCGGCACATGTTGTTATTACATGGCTTGATAAAGGTACACATTAGGCTGATATCTGGGCCAGCAGTGTGTCTGCAACTGGCCCGTGGCTGCACACAACTTAAACATGGCGGACCTTTGGTGGCCCAGATCAGGTTTGCCAGAGGTAATCCACACATGGGCCAGCACAGGACCACCAGTGTGTCTGCAGCTGGTCTTGTGCTGGCCCATGTGTGGGCCACCTCTGGCAAACCTGATCTGGGCCACCAAAAGGCCATCATTCCTTGTGGTATGTGGGCCATGTGTAAGCACATTGTGTGGGCCAGATTGGGGACATACCAATTTTGCTATGTGGGGAATGTCCTCCTTACCGCGTAGGAACTCTATTGCCCAATGTCATGGGGATTCCACTTTTCAGCCCCCCACTCAACATATTTACAGTTCATGAGCCAGCTGATGACTTCTCTGTGTACAGTATATAATGATTCTTAATTTACTTTGTTGATGAGGTCTTTTTATGTGTTTATTACGCTTGTTTCCAGCTGTCAGAAGAAAGGACTTTGCCAACATGACCAGCTTGTTGCATCTAACCCTGTCCAGAAACACCATCAGCCAGATTCTTCCTTCTGCTTTTAGTGACCTGCGACGCCTGAGAGCGCTCCACCTAGACTCTAATAGATTAACTGTGATAAAGGTAACATGGGTGGCTGGATGGATGACATTGAATTAAAAAGAGAGATCCCTGGTTTATTATAATCCACTCACATGTCGTTATCATTTCTTACTTACACCCACTCACTGCCTTTTGTTTTTCTTTTTTGACAACCAGGATGACCATTTTAAAGGTCTGACCAACCTTCGGCATCTGATCCTGGCCAATAACCAGCTTCACTCTATATCTCCCCATGCCTTTGATGACTTTCTGTCCACACTGGAAGACCTGGACCTTAGTTACAATAACCTTGCCCAGGTGCCCTGGGACACAATTGGACGCCTAACCAATGTCAACACCCTAAATATGGATCATAACCTCATAGAAAATGTTCCCCAGGGAGTATTCACCAACCTGCACAAACTGGCAAGGTAAGGACATAGAAAAGGGCAAATGGTGTGTTTTTTGTGATGTACAAATGCAGCATTGAATTGGTATATTGTTGCCTCTCCCTATTTGTTTTATAAATAACTCCCTTCTTCTCTTGTCCGTCCCTCCCCTTCTTTCTGTATGCCGTCCTTTAACAGGTTAGACATGACGTCGAACAAGCTAAAGAAAATTCCCCCAGACCCACTGTTCCTTAGAATCCCAGTTTATGCCAAGTCCAAAGGCTCCCCCCTCTCCTCTCTTGTGTTGAGTTTTGGAGGTAACCCTCTTCACTGTAACTGTGAACTTCTGTGGTTGAGGAGACTAACCAGAGAAGATGATCTGGAAACGTGCGCCTCTCCCCCAGACCTTAGTGCCAAGTATTTCTGGACTATACCGGAAGAGGTGATACTTTTTGCAATTTTTTAATAATTTTATGCAGTAATTGAAAAAAATGGCAAAGTTTGACACTAGGCTTTTTTGTTCTATAACAAAAATAATAATAAAATATCACTTTGACATTGGAAGTGTGACCTTATCTTTTTTTCATGGTAGGAGTTTATTTGTGACCCACCAGTTCTAACACGAAAGTCACCTCATACTGTGGCTATGGAAGGTCAGCCTGCCAGTCTGAAGTGCAAAGCAAATGGTGACCCTGAACCTGAAGTCCACTGGATCAGCCCTGAAGGGCGACTCATATCCAATGGATCCAGGTAATAACAACAACATATGGTCTAGTTTAATCCAGTATACTACATTTCTTCCCTGTACATTGTAAATTCATTGAAAAATTAAAGTTGTGGTATTAATCTATGGAATATGACTTGCCCACTGAGTTTGCCACTATACATCTGGCAAACACACAGGCATATGCAACAGAGTTTTTACAATATTCTGCTCTTCCAGTTTTGTGCTATGTCAGAAAGTCAGATATTGTAGGGGGGTGTAGGCACTTGACATGTGCGGGCCAATCTGAAATGGTTCAGGACAATATTTGTTAAGGCCATAATCTCCTCACCTATAATGTATTGCTAAAATTTTCATTGGGTAACCCACTTGGCACAGGTATGAGTGCCTAGTTATGGTTTTGCATTAAAAACATGTATTATAAAATCACTGACAGTGTTTTGAGTGTTGTAACTCTTTTCTTTCAAAAGTCTTTTTTGATTCAGCAGTTGTAATTTGTATTACTCAAATTACAAAGGAAAATACATAAGTAGCATTTTTCTTGTCAAGTGCCACCTTTGGTTATGCCAAAGCACACAGTTAGAAACATTAGCATAACAGTCATTCTAAATATTGTCAACGTACCGTAGATATTGGTGGTATGATATTGTCAGTATCAGATACTCCTTATAATAATATCCAGTTTATCTAATAAGAATCCAGCAGACAGCTTACTTTTCGTAACATTCACATTTGACTTCATGTATCGATCAATTGATTGCTATCTTAATGATATTTCATTTTCCATTTCACTTTTGTTTCAGAACATTAGTCTTCCCTAATGGAAGCCTAGAGATCAATGTAACATCCCTAAAGGATTCAGGAAACTTCACCTGCATTGCCTCAAACACAGCAGGTGAATCCACGGGAAGGGTGGAGCTAGTCATCACAGCAATGCCCCATCTGGCAAACAGCACAAGCCGCAGTCGAGATCCTTCTTCTGAACCAGCCCCTTCTGACATCCTGACCTCCTCCAAGGTTGCACTTCCCAACAATGAGACAAGAGGAGCAGACAGGAGGGTTTCATTGGTGGAGCTGACAGGAAACTCTGCCCTCATTAGATGGAGCAGTCAAACCCCTACATCTGGAGTCAGGATGTTCCAAGTCCAGTACAACAGCTCTGGGGACGACACACTCGTTTACAGGTTTGTCTGTCTGCACTGTCAATTCATTATTTGCCTTGTGTCTTTTAATTTTCTGTCTGATGTTTCTATGGTGTCATAAATGCATTTATCTATCTGCCTTTATGAGTTTGTAAGTGTGTGTATGGGTTTCTATTCGTGGTTCTGTGTGTATCTGCAGCTTTGTGTAAGTTAATCAAGAGACATCAGCAAATGCAATGAGGATGAGGGCAGATGATAATGATAGTGTCATCCAGTCGTAAAAGTCTAATCAGGCGAAATGATAAAGACATCTGTGGTGGAACAGAGCCATTGTTGGGTACGGTGAATACGGGGGAATAAGGGCCAAATGTCACAAATGTCTGTTGAACAAGTTACAACGGTTGTCATTTAGTTTGCTTTATTGCTGTCCTGATGAGTTTGCTGTATGCTTTCTTTGTCAGCATTTACATTATAAATTTATGAATGAGTTAGTATTAAATGTTTTGTGGCTTTGTTTGAGGAGGACGGCAATGTCAGCACTATGTCAGATGTGACTCTGATTTGATCTGAGTGTCAAATATAGTTAACGTGTTAATGTGGAAAAGGGAGGAACATTACGTTAAGAAATGACTGAATCAAGAAGATACATGCTCTGATAGTTTATTTAGAACAAACTGTCATGTCAATAGAAATTGTAGAAGAATCAAAGATTCTTTCAAAGATGGATGGATGGAGTTGATTTTGTGGTTAAACATATTAATCACACAAAAGTAACGCCATGTTAGACTCTTATGAGACCTCATAATTAAATGAGTAAATCATGATTATGTTCATTCTTATGACAAGCAGGGCTTTTAAGTGGGATTTGGTCGAATTCTAGTCTTCTGAGATCTTGGAAGACTAAAATTACTCACCTCAAAAAAACTCCCAGAATTGATTTTTACTGTGACAGGCTATGTGACCTATGTTGTTGCTGCAACTCTGAGGTTTAGTGCTCTTTGTGCATTTATCCAATTGCATTCTACAATATGAGCAGATGGTAGATGGACTTTAATACTGTTATGGCTGCTTTACAGCCCCTTAACATAGTATATAATTAGAATTAGACAAGTGATACTAAAGACCATCATCAGCTTAAATTCAGACAGATGACCTAACCACATGACTTGCGGAACAGCGACCACAGACACCAGAAGCGACCTCACATAGATGTAGACCTTCCCAGATACGTGTCTTTTTGACACATTAACATCACCAGTGTGAATCTGAAAAACCAAAATAAATTGCAAAATACATTTTTAAGGAATAAAATGCAAACAAAAAAAGTCTGATGTAGCAAATTTGATACAATTTAAAACTCATACATGCAATGCTATCTTTAATTTGTTTTACTATTTTTTATTTCATTGGGAGGTTCACTAAACACCCCATTTTCAAAACATTTGAGCTTTCTGATAATTATTTCATGGTACAGGCTTTAAAGGGTTAAGGAAGTCAGGGAAAATCTCATCCAGGGGCTTGGCCACAGGGGAGTTTTTCTTTTAAACACCTCAGGCACAGTGATTGGCCAGACATTACTTCCTGTACTAAGTGCATGTTAGTGAGGTTCAGGAGGCCTTTGAAGTATTCATTCCACCACCTGACAGTATCCTCAGTTGAGGTCAGCAGCACTCAGATTTGCATGTGGTTTGGCTACAAGTGCTTAGTTTAAAACCTAGATGGATTCTCTTTGGAACAACTTTCTTTCTCTTTCTCTCTAACCCTCTCTGTCTCTCACCCTCTTAATTATTTTGGTTCTTTGGCATAAAAGACAAAAATTAAGACAGACTTGGGAACAATAAAACCTTGACCTTAATAAATAATCCCCGCTGATTCAAAAAGGCAAATGAAGACATTCACCACTTTGAATTAGATACATATAAACTGACAGTTTGCTTACATTAAACATCTGATTTGCATCATTCAAGGAGCAGATCTTCTCATTTCTTAAAAAATTGCTCCTTGATAAATACTTGCAATTTTGTATACCATATTGTAAAGTGCTGCCTATGCATTTAATGCCATGTTGAAAAAAAATATCAGCAGGATGAAAAAAAGTTGGTGTATAAACCACACCATCATTTTTTTGATTGTTTAAAGCCTTGGGTTTATATAGGGATGCATTGCTGTTGGTGGTTCATATTCTGAGTTTTATTTTTTTTTATTTTTTTTATTTTTTTGGCCTGTCCCGTTTGGCTCTTTTGCCATCAGAATTGTTGTCTAAAGGCAAAGAAAGATACCCAACGGATTTGGGTATCTTTCTGAGTTTTATTGATAAAGGGTTTCTTTGATACCTTTGATACAGGATGTTTCTTTGGAATTCAGTGAGAGAGATTTCTTTCCCTCTACTGCTTCATCGGCATTCAAGGAAAACGCATAGTTACCTACTACGAATCACTTCCAGGGGTTCCAGTTAAATTTGTTTCTAAGTTGTTCTTTTTAAAGTGCTCTTAGAATCTCTCACATTCGCTCTTGCTGTGTAAAAACCAAAATTATTGCCTAACTCTGTCTCTCTGAAAGCCTGGGTAAGCCCTACTTATTTTCAGTTCTATGGGGTTTTTACATATAAGGAGTTGTCGTGGCAACAGGTCTGGAAAATCTGCCAGATGTTAGATGCAATGTTGTGAGTGACAGGTGGCTTTAATAATATCTGACATGCGTATTTTGGACTATTTATTTATTATGTGAGCCACAAATTGAATGGTAAAATATTTCACTCTGTCTTCTGTGGTTGAAGAAGTAAATCAACAATGTTTTTACCGCTCTACAAAATTATCTAAAATCCAATTTAGCCTTTTTAGTCTTGATCAACAGTTATAATTCTGTCTCGGGGGAAATAAGTCTTGAAAGAACCTTTGACAGAATTGAATCCATTCGTGCTGACAGGAGAAAGAAAGTTCCTCTTCATTTGTGAAATTGCAACACTTGTGAGATGGAAATGGGGTTTTCAGAAATGTCCTTGTAATGTTGTTGTTTTTTAAGACCAGTTGGAGCGGGCAGAACTGCAGCCACATAAGCTAGCGCAATAATTTTTTTTCCATATGAAACCAGAGGAGTTGTACTTACATCTTATGCCATCAGCTTGTCCTAGGTCACGGTTAGCCGTAAAACATAGCTAAACGGTCAAAAATTAAAATAAGAAGACGCTCAAAATATATTTCCTGTGGTTGGAAACTATTTTGCACAACTTTTTTTGTATTTACAGTTTTGAGGGTTAAGCCTCTTAAATTACTCTAACTAGAAATATTTGTTAAAAAAACAAAAACAAAACGATTTTCAATTTTTTTGCAGTTTATTGCACTTTTTTGCAATTTATGTAGTTACTGTGGACTTAATGCATACATATTGTTAAAATTTAGGCTATAATGGTTGTATTGATGAATAGCAACTTGAAATACTCCCACAAAAGGCACTGCAGCATGTAAAAATATGACAATAAGCTCTGGCGGACTTGGTTCTATGTTAGGTCCTAAAGCAAGATAAGATGCGTGGTTATGGAAAATATTTTGCTTCAACTATCTATTTAACTATCTGTTAGTTATATATATATATTTAACATATGAGGAGCATAGTAATAATCTACATTGAGGTATAAACATCATACCAAAATATTTCCTTGTTTCTTTAGAAAAAACAGTTACTTTGTAATTTTATAATGTATTTTTAAAATATATCCTATTGCAGCTAATTCCAATGTGTTAGTACGTATTCATGAGTAAGTATTAATCTTTACATACAATAATTCATTCATTAAAAAATCATCATATGTATTTATGCTATGTAACATTATTGTTATACTGCTTTATTAGGTAAACACGTTCAACTGTTTGTTTAAATATCAGTTAATCACAGGGTAATGACTGCATAGACTGTATTTAAACATGTAGACATGGTCAAGATGACCTGCTGAAGTTCAAACTAAGCATCAGAATCAGGAATAAAAGTGATTTAAGTGACTTTGAATATGGCATGATAGTTGTTAGTGTCAGAAAGGCAGGTCTGAGTGTTTCAGAAACTGCTGATCTACTGGGATTTTCCACTACCATCTCTAGGATTTACAGAGAATGGTTAGTAAAAGAGAAAATATCCAGTAAGCAGCAGGTCTCTGGTCAGAGTAAAAGGGCAGACTTTGAGCTTTTCTTTAGGCTTCTTTCTTTGAGCTGATGGGAAGGCAAGACGAACTCAAATAACCACTTGTTACTTGTTAGGCACAATGAACAGTGGAAGATTGGAAATATGTTGTCTGTTCTGACTAGTCTCAAATTCACATGTGACATTTGAATGGTAGGGTCAACATTTGCCATAAACAACATGATGCATAGATTCATCCTACGCTGTACCAACGGGTCAGATGGTGGAATAATAGTGGGGATATGCACACTTTGGGCCACTTATTACCACGCATTATTTAAACACCACAGCCTGAATATTGTTGATGACCATGTTCTTCCCTTTATGACCACAGTGTATCCAGCTGCTGGGTAACATATAATGGCACAAAGCTTAGATCATCTCAAACTTAGTTCCCTGCACTAAAAAAGCTTCCACAATTACCACATCTAAATCCAATAGCGCTCCCTCAGAATGGCAGGAGATTCACAGATGAATTTGCAACAACTGTGTGATGCTTTCAACATGGACCAAAGGCTTGTTGAATCTTTGGGACAAAGAATTAAGATGGTTTTGAAGGAAAAATGGGGTCCAACCCAGTATTAGCAAGATGCAACTAATGAAGTAGTCGGTGAGTGTATGCCTAAAATTATACCCATTGCAATAGTTTTGTTTTTTTCCTGTTTTGCTTGTTAAAAGAAACTTTATTTTAACCCAGAGTAGACCGCACCTCTCGCTCTGTGGTAGCTGGGATAGCCTCCAGCCACCCCGCAACCCTGATAAGGATAATCAAAAGTTAATGGATGGAGTGATGGAAAATCTTTTATAAGATCATGGCTAAAAATCCAAGTCTGATGTTACCATATGTTATTGTGAAATTAACATCCATTAGA